TTTTTTTTTTTTCTTTTTATTTTTTCTTGCTTTTTTTGATTCCCGCTTACTTGTTTTTTTTTTCTGTATTTTTTTGGTTTTAATTTGTTACTTTTTATGTTTTTTTTTTGAAGTTTTTGAAATTTTTATGTTTTTTACGTCTTTTGGTCTTTCTGTTCATACATTTTATTTCATTTAATTTTTGCGTTTTTTCCGATTTTTTCGTTTTCCACCTTTTTTTAGTTTTTTTGTATTTTTTCTTCCTATACCCAATGCTTCATTTTAGCGTTGTAGGCTGTTTCTGATTTCTCGCCCTTCTGCCTCTCGTACTGGAACTCTTGCCGCTGCTGCTGCTCCCTCCATCAAAGAATACCCAAGCAAGGTAAGTTAAATTTCTGCGTTGTATCTTACTAAGCCTGTTAAATTTTTGTTTTTGTTGCTCTTTATTTATTCTGATTTATGTTAGCACTGCATGTGCTATTTTAGTTTTTTTTTTCTCTTTTGGCTATTTTCTTGCACAATTTGTTTCTGCTGTTGTTTTTATTTTTTGTCGTTTTTTTTGACATCTTTTCTGTATTCTTTTTGCTTTTTCTACTGTTTTTTTGCGCTCTTTTCAAGCGAATTTTTACCGCAAAGTTGTTTGCATCTTCAACTGATTTTAATCTTTTTTTTTGAGTGATTTTATTGACAGTTCAAGTGTCGCGGTAATGATCAACGACGGTCGCTATGCGGTTCGCCCTCCGCTGCTGTCTGAGTGAGCTTGCCTGTTTTTAACTTTTATTTTCAATTTTTTAAAGAATTATTAGTATCTTTTGCTTAATTTTGTTTTCCGCTATTTCTCTTTCGGCCATTTCGGTTATTTATATCCTCTTCAAGCTGTTTTTACTGTTTCTAATTTTTTTACTGCATGAGCAACGACACATTGTGTTTTAGCCCATCCTACTTTACCGTTCATTGATTTGTTCCCCTTTTAAGTTCTTTCATTATTACAAGTAGTTTAGCGGTGGTGACCGGCGGGCACCAGCACGTTGCCACCGACCCAGGTAGTTGCTGTTCAGTACTTTGTGTAATTTTTGTTATATATTTGGTTTTATTTTTCTTTTTTATAATTGTTTTTGTTTGTAATTTAACTTTCGATTTTTACTGCTGTGAATTTTTGTGGTTTTGGTTTTTTGGTTTTTTGTGTTCGTTTTTCTGAATTTTTCGATTTTCGCGTTTTCCACTTTTTTTTTTACCTCTTTCGATTTCCGCTTACTTGTTTTTTTTTGTGTGTTTCTTTTTTTGGTTTCAATTTTTTACTTTTATTTTCTATTTTTTAAAACAATAATCTGTATCGTTTGTATAATTTTGTTTTCGGCTATTTCTATTCCGGGTATTTCGGCTATTTGTATCCTCTTTCAGCTGTTTTTACTGTTTCCAATTTTTTTGCTACATAAACAACGACACGTTCTCTTTTAGCCCGTCCTACTTGACCGTTTATTGATTTTTTGCCGTTTTAAGTTGTTTCATTATCATTGCAACTACTGTAGCGGTTGTGACCGGCGGGCACCAGCACGCTCCTACCGGCCCACGGAGTCTCTGTGCCGGATTGCGTGTAGTTTTTGTTATATATTTGGTTTTTTTTATAATTATCTGTTTCTAATTTAATTTTCGATTTTACTGCTGTGAATTTTTTTAGTTTTGGTTTTTTGGTTTTTTGTCTTCCTTTTTCTGAACTTTTCGATTTTCCCGTTTTCCGTTTTTTTTTCCTTTTTCGATTCCTGCTTACTTGCTTTTTTTGTGTTTTTTTTTTGGTTTTAATTTTTGACTTTTTCGGTTTTTTTGAGGTTTTTTAGATTTTTACGTTTTTTTTTACGTATTTTTTTTCTGTTTATGTATTCTGGTTTCTATAATTTTTGCGCTTTTTTTGATTTTTTCGTTTTCCGCATTTTTTTCGTTTTTTGTATTTTTTCTTCGTATACTGAATGCTTCATCTTAGTGTTGCAGGCTGTTCCCGATTTCTCGTCCTTCTGCATCTTGTGCTGGAACTTCTGCGGCTGCTGTTGCTGCCTCCATCAGAGGATACCCAAGCAAGGTAACTTAAATTTCTGCGTTCTATTTTAATAAGCCTGTTAAATTTTTGTTTTTATTACTATTTATTTGTTTTGATTTCTCTTTGCACTTCATGTGCTATTTCTGTTTTTTTTCTGTTTTGGCTATTTTTTTGCACAATTTGTTTCTACTGTTCTCTTTTTTTTTTCAACGTTTTTTTGGCGTTCTTTTTGTATTTTTATTACTTTTTCTACTGCCTTTTTGCGGTTTTTTGAAATTTCGACCGCAATGTTGTTTGCATTTTTTCCTGATTTTATTCTTTTTTTTTCAAGTCATTTTATCGACAGTGGAACTGTCGCGGTAATGATCAACGACGGATTGCTGAGCGCTTCGCCTTCCGCTCCTCACTGGGTAAGTTTGTTTGTTTTTCACTTCTGTTCTCATTTTTTTTAACAATTATTCGTATAGATTGTTTAGTTTTGTTTTCGGCTATTTCTATTCCGGCTCTTCCGGCTATTTGTATCCTCTTTCAGCTGTTTTTACTGTTGCCAATTTTTTTGCTGCATAAACAACGGCACATTTTGTTTTAGTCTGTTCTACGGCACCGTTTATTGATTTTTTGCCGTTTTTAGTTGTTTCATTATCATTGCAACTACTGTAGCGGTTGTGACCGGTGGGCACCAGCACGCCCCTACCGGCCCACGCAGTCCCTGTTCCGGACTTTGTGTAATTTTTGTTATATATTTGGTTTCATTTTCGGTTTTTTTATAATTGTTTTTGTTTGTAATTTAGCTTTGGATTTTTACTGCTGTGAATTTTTGTAATTTTTTTTTTGGTTTTTTGTCTTCGTTTTTCTGAAATTTTCGATTTTCGCGTTTTCCATTTTTTTTTTACCTCTTTCGATTTCCGCTTACTTGTTTTTTTTGTGTGTTTCTTTTTTTGGTTTTAATTTTTTACTTTTTCTGTTTTTTTTGAGGTTTTTTAGATTTTTACGTTTTTTTACGTATATTGGTTTTTCTGTTCATGTATTTTAGTTTATTTAATTTTTGCGTTTTTTTTCGTTTTTCGCATTTTTTACGTTTTTTTGTATTTTTTCTTCGTATACTCAATGCTTCATTTTAGCGTTGTAAACTGTTTCTGATTTCTCGCCCTTCTGCCTCTCGTACTGGAACTCTTGCCGCTGCTGCTGCTCCCTCCATCAAAGAATACCCAAGCAAGGTAAGTTAAATTTCTGCGTTGTATCTTACTAAGCCTGTTAAATTTTTGTTTTTATTGCTGTTTATTTCTTTTGATTTCTGTTTGGAATGCATGTGCTGTTTCCATTTTTTTTTCTGTTTCGGCTGTTTCTTCACACAATTCGCTTTTAATGTTGTTTTTATTTCTTAACGTTTATTTGGCCCTGTTTCTGGTTTTTTACTGCTTTTTCCACTGTTTTTTTTTTGCGACTTTTTGAAATAAATTTTGACCGCAGTGCTGTTTGGATCTTTCGCTGATTTCATTTTTTTTTTTTTTTTTTCAAGTGATTTTATCCACAGTGGAGCTGTCGCGGTAATGGTCAACAACGTGTCGCTTTGCGCTTCGACCTCCGCTGCTCACTGGGTGAGTTTCTCTGTTTTTCACTTATATTTTCGCTTTTTTTAAAACAATAATTCATATCCTTTGTTCAATTTTGTTTTTATGGATAATTTCTTTTTATTTTTTCTAGCTGCGCTTCTGCTTTTTATTTTTTCACTTTTTTTTTTTTAAAATTTTTTGGTAGATATTTTTGTACGCTGTTCAAATTCGGCTGTTTTTTGAAGTCACTTTTAATTTTGTTAGTAGCAGTCCTATGCCGCTTTCGTTTTTTTTTTTTTTTTTTGCGTGTTTTTCGTTGTTCGTTGTTGTCGCGTTTCTTGTGTTTTCTGCATCTTTTCTTCGTTTTTTCTATGCCTAATTGTATTGTTTCAGGATGTCCTTTGCTTTTGAGAATTTTGCTCGTCTTGATCTTCCTGTCGCCGTTGTTACACAATGGTCGAGCATCGGCAGTGCCAGGTGAAAAGTGTTTTAGCTCTTTTTTTTGTTTTTTTCTATATCTCTCTTAACCCCTTTTTAAAAGTCTTTTGATCAAGTTGATCTGTTCTTTTTTATTTTGATTGAAAATTTTGATTAAAATTCAATCAATTTTTGTTTTCGTCAGTCTTTAAATAGTTTTTCTTTGCTTATGCTTTTTCTTCTTTTTTTTTCTTCTTTTTTTGTTCTTTTTTAGTCATTTTTCCTTGTTCTATCAGTTTTTGCGTTCTTTATTGCCTGTTTTTCATGCTTAACTTTTTCTTAACTTTACCTTTGCAGGATTTTTTTTGGTTTTCTTCTTCTCCTCTTCATGCTGGAACTGCTGGTGCTGCTACAGCCAATGATACGCCCAAGGAAGGTAAGTGAAAATTTAGTTAAGTCGTTTTTCTGCTTTTTTTTCTTCAATTCTTACACTTTCTTCTGCCTTTTCTTATTGCTTTACTTCACACGGCTTTTGTCACTTTTCTCTTTAAATTCGTTTTCTATATTCCGCTTTGGCAGGTAGGCGGAAGGCGTTTGCCACTCATGTCCAGTACGGCTAGTTGAACTTGTTTCCGCTGCAGTCGCCGTTATTCTAACTCGGACCTATCTATATGTAAGCGCTTGTCAATATTTTTTGCACTCCTTCTATCTCAGCCTTTTCACATTTCCATTTTCAAGCTTTCTTTTTTAATCCTTCTTCTTTACTTATTTTTATTTTTTTCTTTCTACTTTTCCACTCTCCCAGTTTTTTTTTTTTTTTTGATGATGCCTACAGTTAACACCAACTTGTGTTCAATTTTCTTTTTTTCCAATTTATTTCTTTTTTTTCAGCTTGCTCTATGAATCGCTCTACCTTCTTTGGCGACTAATTTAGAGGGAGGCTATGCGAAACAAGAGATTCTTTGAACAGTTTTGTTAGTGTTCTGTGACGCTTACCTCCAACGAAATATCTTCTGTCAAAAAGAGATAATCAGTCTGTCATCATATAGAGGACAGCTGGTCACGTCTCGCGTTTCCCACGGTGGACGGTCAATTCCCACCGGTACTCTGCTGCTACTGCTCTAGAGCTGATGTACCGCTGATGACTGGCGGTTTACCTTTTCAATCGTTCTACACGTGATTTCCTGCTTGGGCGGTTGGATGGCTGTGTACTTTGGCTATTTTTTTGTTTTCTTCCCGATTCTGTTCGTGTATATTTTTATTCTTAGCTGAGATTTCTTTACTTCGCTGATTAATTTTCCTTTTTGTTTGAAATGTGTCTCGCTGTTTTCCTCGTGTCTTCTTGTATTTAAATATATAATTTTCGCTATTGTCCGTTTTTGACTTCTTGCTTTCTTTGGCTTTTTGATAAGTAATTCTACTACAGTTTTCAATTTTTGCATCTTTTTGCAAATTTCATTTCTACTTTTCTTTGAAGTTTCCATTGCTTTCTTTTTTCTCATTTTATTTTAATTATCCATGTTTCCATTTTTATGCCTTTCTTTACTTTTCTTTTTTGTCGTTATTCGACAATTTTTTGGCTTTTTACTTCTTTTTGGTTTTTTAATGAAGGTGTACGCGCGTTTTTAAAATTTAGTTTTTTTTGCATTGTTGTCGTATTCTACCTTCTGTCTTGTGTTTTTTGGTTTTTTTAAATACTTTTTATACTCTTTTAAATTCTAAATACTAGTCTTTTTTTCTTTTGTGCATCTCTTTGCTATTTCATTTTTTTTTTTTTT